CTGACTCCCACCCCCCACCCCACAGGGACTATGCTGGGCCTCTGTGCCTCTGTGCAGCCGCTGACCCGCACCGTGGGGCCCACGCTGGGCGGCCTCCTGTACCGCAGCTTCGGGGTCCCCGTCTTCGGCCACGTGCAGTTTGCCGTCAACCTCATTGTCCTCCTGGTCCTCTGGAGGCAGCCTATGCCCCAGAAGATGGACAAAGTCGGGTGACCTTGGCCCCTCGGCACAGACTGGCAATAAACTCCCCTGGCACCCCTTCCAGCCTGGTTTCTGCCGGCTCCCACTCAAGCTGCCTGCTTCCGGTTGGTCGGGAGGCCTGGGGGTGAGAGATGGAGCCGGGAAAGCTGGAGGCCTTCCTGGAGGAGGGACTTGTGGCTGGGGCCCTGGGGCTCTAGGGAGGGCAGAATCCCCCACGTTTGGCCTGGTGAGGTGGGCCCTGCCCCCTGAAGTGAGAAGGCCCCTCTGCTGCTGTCCAGACAGTCCTGCTCCTGCTCCAGAAGATGGGGAGCTCCCTGCCCCCCACTTCCCACTTCCTGCTCCAACCCTGACCTGAGGCCTCCGGCTTCCCACACACCCTCGTGCAGCCTTGAAGTTGTTCTTGTTCATGAAAGGAAATGTGTTGTTTTTTTAAAAGATCAGGAATTCGAGGCTCTAGAGGTGCCTAGTCAAACGGCCCTCTCCCTCTGTGGTGGGAGCCCAGCGGTGCCTGAGACCCGAGAGGCACCATCGCCCCCCCAGCTCCACAGGGAAGGGGCGCTGGGCGGCAGGAGGCCAGCCGGCTGCGGACCGATGACCAGTATGGAGAACACAGCCTCGTGGCAGTTGGGTGCGCAGTGCCCCGGAGACACGAAGGCCACCCCTCCCCCACAGGCTGCCTTTCAAAGAACCTATTAAAACGCAGACTCCCCAGCCTCAGAATCCCAGTCCCAACCGGAAGGGGCCTCAGGCGCACCTCCTCTTGGACCCCACTGGGGACAGGAATCTCATCCCTGACTTTGCTCATTTGTCCGGATGAGCGGGAGAGGTCTCCCAGGTGGGGCGGGATGGGGTCCATCCTGGGGTCAGGACCGTGGAGCTGGTCTTTTCTACCCTCTGGAGCCCCTCCCCATTTGCACAGGGGCTTCATCACTCGTGTTCCAGGGATGACCTGGCGGGAAAGGGTTTCCTCTCTGGACCCGGCACCCGGGCCTCCCAGCAAAGGGACGAGCCTCTTCCCGGGTCTGACCCTGGGACCCAGCTAGGAGGCCTGTGATGGCTGCCCTCCCCCAGGGGCAGGAGAGTGACTGACATCGGGCCCAATTATGGTCCTTCACTCCCCTCCCGGCTATTCCCCCACCCGGCATCCTTCCTGCATCCCGAAATTGTCCCCTAACCAGTCGGGGCCAGTGTTCTGTCCCCTGTTCCGTGCCCCCCGACTTGTTCAGCACCTATAGACCTTCCAGGTGGAGGGACACACTCTCGAGCCCTTCCCGCTGGACAGCCCTGGACACACTGTCCACCCCACTCCCCAAGCAGGGGGCGGGCGCTGCCAGTTGGTCAGATTCCCTAGGCCCTCTCCACCCCAATGCCACGGTCCTGGGCCGCTCAGAGGCCTCAGCCTCCCGCCACATGGTTGGGAATGCCACAGGTCTCTCTCCATCTGCCCAGCACTGCCAGCGATGGTCAGCCCCCCGCCCCCAACCAGACCTCCCAGAGCGACCACGGCACAGCCTGGCATGGGGTCAGGGGCCCACGGGCAACCAGAGAGGTGAGCAGGCGGCATGTGGGTGGCAGGGGGTAGTGGAAGGGGGGGACACTGATGTCACAGGGGACGTTTGTGAGTGACCTCCCTGAGCAAGCGCTGCCACCAGCCCTGTCCTCTCCGGGTCACACGCAGGGGTGGAAGTCAGCCAGGGCCAAACCCCAGTGCACTTCCTGCCTCTGGAGACCTAGGGAAGGAGGGTGTGAACCGCCCTTCATTCAGGTGCCTCCCTGCCCTTCAGACGACTGCGGGGGTGGCCCCGCCCCGCCGTTCCCAGAAACAGCACCGCACCAGGCCGGCTGGTAGAAAAGAGGCAGGCGGAGTGGTTTATTTGGAATGCCACGGATGCAAAAAAACAAAACATTAAGACATATGACATGGTTCGACGACACATAACCGTAAAAATAAATACATAGATAGTCTAATAATTTAACGAGCCCTCGCAGCAGAGCGGGCTCCGGGACGCTGCGAGGCGAAGGTTTCCTTCTGGGGGGCAGGGACATGGGCGCCCTCCCCCCCCAATCGTTAGTCCTGGTGTGGTCAGTGGGTGAGCTCCGGCCATTCCTGGCAGCCCCTTGTCTCGACCGGATTCGTCCAGAGAGTGTGGCTCCTGCGGGGAGAGGAGGGGTCAGGGCTGGGGGCGTGCGAGGGGTCCCCCTCGTGGTTCCCCGTCGGCCCC